TAGTCCACCTTAGGAAGGGGGAAGTCATCATTGGGGCAAGCCTTGTTTAGGTCAATGAAATCTACGCAAACGCGCCACTTTCCACCTTTCTTCTTCGCACAAATTGTATTTGACAACCACTCCGAGAACTATACCTCCCGGATGGTGTTGGCCTCCAGGAGCTTCTCAACCTCTTCATTCATCGCCTGGGCGTGCTGTGGCGCTATGCGCTGAGGCTTTTGCTTCACCGGCTTATTAGTGGGGTCAACATGAAACTTATGAGTTATAATATCGGGACTTATCCCCTTTATCTCTGTGGTGTCCCCATGTGAACACATCTATATTCTTCTTCAGAAAATTTGTCATCTATTCTTGCTCGGCTGGAGACATGGTGGAGCTGACCAAGAAATACTTTTCTTCATCTCCTTCCACCAGAAGTACCTTCCGGAGATCCTCCTCTAAGCGATCTACCGAATCAATCCGTGGCTCATCCACTCCGAGTCGTTCGGTCTGTAATTTCTATTTGTTCAAGACCTCCTCTAGGGCTCGCTCCTTTTCCTTGGAGACAACCCCTGCCCTTACCGCAGAATAGAAATAATTCTTGGTGGATGCTTGGTTTCCATAGATCTCTTTCATTCCCTCCAAGGTGGAAAACTTTAACTTTTTATGATAGGTGGAATGCACCGCCCCCAGGGTAAGCAACTAGGCCCGGTCCATGATAATATTGTAAGGCAAGTCAGAGTCAATCACCATAAACTCCATGTTGGTTGGTCCGGTGGTAATTGGAAGCATGATCTTACCCAGAGGCAAGGCATATGAGCTGTTGAATCCAATAAGAGACGTGCTGACTTTGGTGAGGTTTTAAAGTACATTACCTCAGAAGAACTTCTGGAGTCCACCAAGACCCTCTTGACATCAAAGTTGCCAATTTTCAAGGTCAAGATCAAGGCATCCTCATGGGAGAGCACCACACCTACTAGATTGGTGTCGAAAAAAGTGATGTCTTCCTCGCTAGTCCGAGGCCTCTTGCCCAGCCGGCCCCCATCTATCTCATCCACATTCCTCATGAACGCTACTCTTTTCAAATTGGATTTGAGGGTTTTGGACATCGGATGCCCCAACGGGCAAACATGAATGACGTCGATTACATTGTCTTGGACCAAAGTCTAGTTATTGGCTCTATGGGCCTCTTCTGGTGTTGCCTCGATGTTTTTCTTTAAATGCCCTTCCTGCACTAGTTTTTTCAAGAAAGATTTGTAGACCCTATAATCTTCAGTGAGGTATCCAAAGTCCTGGTGGTATGAGTATTTCACTCTCTGGTTTCAGGTGGACAGATCACCCTGCATCTTGGGTGGCCATTTGAAGAAGGGTTCCTTCTTAATCTTATGGAGCAACTTGTAAATAGGCTCTTTGAACACAGTGTGGACTCCTTTGAAGGAACTTCTTGACGGAAGCATCAACCCTTTTCGGGAAGGGGTGCCCTCTTTCTCCTTTTCTTTCTTCTTTGGCACCAGAGTCTTCCTTTTGCCCCCCACCATCTCATCCTCAATCTGGGAGTACTTATTTATCTGGGCCATTAGTTCTCCCATATCAGTCAGCGTTTTCTTGGTCAAGGATCGATAGAGATCGGCGTCTCAAGAGAAGCTCAGTCTAAAAAAGGTAGCCGCCATGATCACAGAAAATCCCTCCACCTTGTTTACCTCCTCCCAATAGCGAACGACATACTGGCGGAGGGTTTCTCCTTCATTCCACCTCAGGGTTAATAGTAATCCGATGTCTTTGGGTCGTCTGCTCCCTTTGATGAACCGGACGGAGAATTGCCTGGTCAGCTCATTCTAAGACCCTGTGCTACCAGGTGGAAGGGTTTCAAACCATTTCATAGCAGAGTCTTCTAGTCTTATTGAGAATACTATGCATAGTAGTAGATGGTTCGAGTGGTACAGGGACATCATTTGCTTGTATTGTCTGAGGTGGGTTTCCAGGTCTGTCCGTCCTTCATAAATCTTGAACCTCGGTACCGTGAACTTCTTCGGTACCTCCATCTCTACTATATTCCTTGTGAAAGGCGATTGGATGGCTTCATCGTCGGTGTCATCTTCCTGTGGGGCCTTATCTCTCCTCTTAGAGTCCAATCGAGCTTTGAGGTCTCCCCTTTTCGGTGGGCATTCCTTCATACTATCGGCTCCAGCCAACATGATCCCTCATCCCTGGGTGTCAGACAGAGAGGGTCGACCTCTCCTGGAATTCCTCCACGCCCCCTCACCCGGACAGTCCCCAATAAAGGTCATTCCAAGCCAATAGCCTAGCCCTCTTAGTTGGGACCTCCAGGAGATGCCCATCGGCCCTCGAGCGTTTTAGGTCCTTAGAGCCTCCTACTTTGATACTTAGGTGATTTCTCAGATCCTCAGGTCTTACCACCCTGACGGAGGGTTACCTAGACCGTGGCAGGTCTTGAAATCCAACACTAGAAGATGCGAATTTATAGAGCCGATTTAGAACGTTCACGTTGTTCTCTTCTAACTGCCATAATCGATCTCTGAATTTTTCCTTGATTTCCTCAGCCAATTGTCGGGCTAGCAGGGCGGATCTTCCAAACCCGATACCCATACTAGTTTGGCGGGTATGCTCTCTTGAGTGAACGAAATGCCCCTTGTTGACACTTTCGACATGGTCCTCCATTCGCGAAATAGAGGGAGTTGGTAAATCGATATTCCTTTGTTGAGGACCTTTTCCCTTTTGGCAAGTATTCACCATGGTCACTGTTCTTCAGAAAATCTAGTATTTTTCATAGATGACACCAAATTGTGCACGATAATTTTTGCACAATAGATAAAAATGGAAATAGATCTCTCCCCTGATGAACTCGTGTTCATTGAGAAGGTGGTGGATCCCGTAGCGAGGAACGAGTTGAGAGGGCCAAAGGGAGCCTAAGGAGTGGTGATGAATTGCTCCAGGGGTTGCTCGATCGATTCAGGCAAGTTATGGGCAGTTCTTGTCACACAGAAAATGGGTTAGAAGGGGCGCCAAAGTGTTTTTCGGTGTATCTTCTCCGACGATCAAGTCAATTCTTTGAGAGAGGGGAAGAAGAAAGCATTGTATAGTTTTTGAAAGATGATTTTGCATACCTTTACTATATAGTTCTTGAGAGATGATTTTACATACCTTTACTTCATATTTTGGACAACTATTTATACATCCAAAGGCTCATCATTACTGGTGGCCTAGTCAGTAGGTAGTACCCAAACATAGGGCAGTGTGCCCCCTATTTTGCATGGGGAAAACCCCGTTATTGATTGCTCGGGCTCCTGAGTATTTAATGTTCTCTCTTCAATGTAAAGGCCTTATATGTTTGGAGCCCAAGGTATTTAATACTCCATATCATCGGCTTCTCAAGCTACTGTAGATGTCCCATCACTAAGGATGCATTAAATGTTTATTTGGGATAGCTGTAAGTCAACTGGGGTAGTTCTATATATTTACCCATCATCCTGTACTTTATGTCACGCATCTGACTCCCCCTGGTTGAGTGTCCAGTTCGTCCTGCTATCCTGACTTCATTGTGTAAAGTGTTCTCATAATTCCTAGTCTAGTTTAGACTATTCAACTGTCAATCAGTAGCCTCTCCAGAAGCCGAAGACTCATGGCAAGATCAAAGTTTCAGTGAGTACCCTCGGATCCGAGGACACTTGACTCCCTCGGAGTGGAGGTACCCTTGGAGTCGAGGACACATGTCTGTCATAGAGAGAGAGAGCACCCTGACGCCGAGCACAAGTACATGGTGGCAGAGTGACACATGCCTTCGGAGCCAAGGAAACGTGTCTTTTTCAAAGCAAAGACATGTCCTCGGTGTCGAGGACACGTGTCTTCATTACACCCTTGGCACCGAGGACAAGTGTTGCCATCTACTAGGAAAGTGTCCCATCAAGTATAATTAATTTCATTGTTCTCATGATTAAAATAGGAGTTTATGCGGATTATTTACTTATTAGCATTTACTTGTACCTGAAGGTATGATACAACATAAAATTCAGTCATAAAAAAAGTAATGTCATTATATTAAATAATAATTTTTCCTTCTTTTTTTTAATTACATGATTTGATATTAATTTCTATTCATTATTTTATAAAAAATTTGACAATTTTTTTTCAAAATATATGACCTTAAATAAAATATCAATATGTGTAAATTATTATATATGAACAATGCCACAATTAATCAAAAAATAAATGATTTAACTTTTGATAGAAATGAGTGGCAAAAATATGTAGGCATCCGACAAAAAGAAATGAGCGGCAAATGTTTGGTAAGTAAAGTAATTGTGCTTTCTATAAACCAATCAAAATCTGAAACGTGGAAGTATGTTAGGTGTAACTTGGTTGTTAAAGGTGAGGCTTCTGTATTATATATATATATATATATATTTTTTTTTTTATTTTTGAATTTTGAAAATCCAGAAATTTAATAATTAAGTGTTAATCTATCTAATAACAATCCGCAAATTAGGGTTTGTGAAAAAAAATACTGTTCATTGCTTCGTAGGTGAGAAAAAGGATAAAGAAGTTGGTTGTTCTAATTCAATAAAATGATATCGTTTTAATATAAAACGATGTCGTTTTAAAGAATTAACGGTAGAGAATCGAGATCTCTCGATCTAAACATAATAATAAATTACCATTACACTAATTTAATTGATCCCATCCCCTAATATTGGAACTAAATGTGTCTTTAAGAGATATCTTTAGGTGGAATCATATCGCGTATAATTTTATTTTTTGCTTGATTTTGTATAACAGTGACAAATCGTGTTGAAAAAAATTCTAACTTCACCATTAACGGTGGATGATTGAACCGGTGAAAATTGAAAAAAAAACAAATTAAATTAAGATGATGTAAATTCAATGTGAACACATCTCAAAAACCTACGTGGACCCCAAGTAAAGTCACATAGTTGTTAGTTGTTCCACCATTTTGGGATGCAGATGCACCTTTATTCTGTATGCTTGTTATGGTGTTGCTTTGGAATCACTGTATGCCTGTTTGGTTCGCCCCCCTCCCCTCCTTTCTCTCTCTCTCTCACACACGGAAACACCATATGACCCCTGAAGGTATACTTCCGAAAAAAAAAATGAACCCAAAAGGTATGAATTTTCCATCCTCTCAAGTCACCACCCAATTCCCACCATTGCAATACCCAACCAAACACTCCACAAGGCTCCTCTATAAGAACCCATATTTTCCTCTCTCTCTCTCTCCAACTTTTTGTCTGTATATTCTGCACCCATTTTGGCAAACATAGTGCACAACCATGCGTTCATCTGCAAGCAGCATCCAATATGAGGGTATGAGATTTATCTTCTGAATTTCTGGGCTACATATATTTGAGTATTTATGATACAGTTCTTGAAAAGAATGTGATCTAATATGGGTATGAAAAAATCTGCATGCAGGAGTGGATACCGATCAAAACGTCCTCCAAAAGCATGTTATGTTCTTTGATCGGAACAACGATGGAATTGTTTATCCTTGGGAAACCTTTCGAGGTCTTCCTTGTTTCTTTTTGTTTTCTGGTTTAAATGAACTACACAATATGAATTTTTCGTTTGATATTCTTGGTCGGATTGTTGTTGGGTTTATCAATTTTTTTTTTCTTTTTGTCAATTAATCAGGTTTTCGTGCAATTGGTTGTGGCATTCTCTTGTCCACCACCGCTGCCATTTTCATCAATGTTGGTCTCAGTCGCAAAACTAGACCTGTGATTTCTCTCTCTCTCTCTCTCTCTCTCACACACACACATTTATATCTATATCTTTTTTGCTTGTTAAGTTAGTACGATTATCCCATAGTTTTATATAGTTCGGTATCCAAATCTTAAAGAGAGGCGGAAGGGAAAAGATTAAAAATCCAGTGCATCGCCTGTCTTGGTCATTATTCTATTCTTTGCTTATAATATGGGTTTGTAGACACTTGCCTGTACAACCAGCAAAAAAAAAGACACTTGCCTGTATGAGTCTTTGCCTATCTTTCCTTTTCTTGGTTTATATTAGTATATAATAATTTGGTTCATTTTCATAGTTGATTTGATCTTTGAGTGTTGAAAAAGTCAAGTATAAAGAAGTAATAATCAATGTTCTAACAAGTACTTGGTAGGAGTTACGAAGGTTGTATAGTTGCGTGGAGGTACATGTGTAGGTTTAGAGTTCCGTAGTCCATAGTGTGAAATGATCTGTCTATCATTTTCTCACGTTTGCCTTTTTCATAATGAAATGTTGTCCTCATCGTTGCCAAAGGGTATTGCCCATTAACATTGTTGTCTATGTCGAAAATTACATGAACCCAATTAATAATGGATGAAGAGTACGACAGCTGAGTTGCTAGGAGTCACTACGTTTATGTGGTGATAACATGAATATGCAAGATTCTTTATTTCTTATTTCCTAATTAAACCATCCCTTCTTAAACAACCGTTTGCTGCCGAAAAATAAAACAGAAAAATGCTCAGATCGGTATATGTAGAGACCTAACTTTTTTTTGTCCAGTAACTACGTAATTTCATTAACCGAAAAAGAGTACATTAGATGCTACCCTGGTGGGCTTGAACATGAATCTGCTGGCTTTTGCTGGTTCTAAAATAATGAGTTTGAACCTATGCAGTTGCATCTTTCATCAATAAACAAAATAACCTCGTCATAAACATATCTAGTGGTAATGACCTAAATGATCTCTTTGTCCTATTTTTGATTGCTCTAGGACACCTTATTTTTTTATCAATAAACTATCCTAATCTTGACGTGTATGCCGAAGAAAACTCATAACCTAAATGAAAAGGAACTAGCTGGGTAAATTGCAACCTAGTAAAATGAGTTCTTTACGCTCATTCTGATACTAATGATGGCTTCAGCTGCCTGTTAGTTTTGTTGTTGTCTTTTATTTTGCTGGCTTATGTATTGTCCATGTTTTCCAGCAGAAAAGTTTAGTGGTTATATGCATCTATTACTACATAAAAAACAGTCTAGTGCATGAGAATCCCCCACTCAAGTTTTAGAGAGAGTTAAATATATGCAGTTTTACTCATATGCAGAGAGACTACTTCTGTCTGTGACGTGTATACTATATATATGATGCAAATTGTAGGTAACTAATGTCATATTTTGTCTGAATGCTGTAGGGAAAATTCCCTTCTCTTCTCTTTCCAATAGAAGTTAAGAACATCCACAAAGCCAAGCATGGAAGTGACTCTGGTGTCTATGACACAGAAGGAAGGTATATCTGGTGTTTTTATATTTATTATTATTTTATTTTTTTGCAAATATTCCCCATCTATGCAAGCCAAACCTGTGCAAAGGGGGACAGAATATGCCTGCTTGTGAAAATAAGAATCAATTACTTTAAAGTGGTCGCCTCACATGGTTTTGTTCTCTGTTCTGTGAGTATTGGCCCCTGGAATGTATTTCATTTCGCATGACGTTCGCTTTGACTATGTTAATGTGAAAACTGGCAATGATGCCAACAAGAAAGAGTTGTGTCAAATAGAAGATGAAGGTTACATTAGATGATTAAGTTACTTTATCTGAACTAAAGAAACACTTGATTATTATTGCCTGCACTAAAAAGGGCAGTGCATGAGAATCTCGATATGGTGGGATTTGGAGAGGATTAAATGTATGTAGCTTTACTCCTGCAAGCAAAGAGATTATTTCTGCGACTCGAACCCATGTCATAACCTCTAGGTCACAATGGAGGGCAGACTTTGGTGCAATGGGTTCATTATGATTTGGAAGTCATGGATTTGAGTCGCGAAAATAGTCTTTCTGCTTACAGGGGTAAGGTTGTGCACATCTAATCCTCATCCAGACCCCGTAATACTGGGAGCCTCATGTACTTGATACGATTTTTTATTTTTTAAAACTGAAACCAACATTATGCTCTGCCGTTTAGTCTAATCTATGAGATATTGTTTCTACATGTAGAAAATAGCAATAATCCTTTATTCTTCGTTTGGACCAAAGATTCTTTAAACATACTTAGCCTCTTATATTAAATTTTAATTTCATTTCTCTCTACATTTTTCTGAAGGTTTGTTCCTTCAAAGTTTGAGGAGATTTTCAGTAAGCATGCCCACACCAATTCAAATTTCTTAACCTCAGACGAACTGATGGCAATGCTCAAGGCGAATAGGGTTCCTAAGGACTTTGCTGGATGGTCTGTTCTTTATCAATTCGAAAACTCTACTGTACAATGATGGTTGATTTTCATTCAAATCTATTTAACATGCTGATACTTTGTACTAAGCAGGCTTGCAAGCTATACAGAATGGAAGATCTTATATATTCTTTGCAAGGACAAGAATGGTTTACTGCACAAAGATACGATTCGAGGCGTTTATGATGGAAGCCTGTTCGAAAAGATGGCAAAGGAGAAAGCTTCATCCGGGAAGCATGCGTAAATACCTTAATTTGCAATAATGGAATCCATACTTTTATATGTTTCATAGTTTGTTTTTAGATACTTGTAGAACTATATCTGGAAGAAACAGTGGGAACTTATGCTGCGATATTAATTTCTGATGCAGTGTCACTCCTCCATTGTAAAAAAAAAGGGCATATTTGGTATGATTGCAGCCGTTGCATTTAGCTATTTACTTGCAACTTGCATCTGCGGAAGGATAAAAATTTCAGTCTATTTCCACTGAAACGTTTCGATTTTCATGGAACTTAAAAAGACTGGATTGAAATGTATCAAAATACATATTTTGAGGTTTCTTGTATTTTTTTTGTGTTTTGGTACGGTTCGGTAGGTTTTGGAAACAAGTTCTATTCTTTTTCTATTATATCTATAAAATATTTTTATTCCTGACCGAGATTATAGACCGAGGAGAAATTTTTATAAAGAGGAAGTGGTTGCAAATGCTATTCTTTTTTCGTGGTTCACTTGGATTGTCATGTAAAAAGAATATTAATGTGCATTAGAATTTTATAACATGTCACCACCATTCCTTTCTAGATTGTAAAACGGTTTTGGCAACTTGCTTGGAACAACTTGAAGACGTCGAAATAGAGTCAAAGTGAGATGTGAGTTAACATCGGACCCATACAGAGACTTAGGCCTTCAGACCAACCTAATACTGGACCCAGACTGGAACCTAAGCCAAGACCCAGACATGGACCTCACTATGGAGTCAGACCCGACCTTGAGCCCAACCCTAAACCTGGACCTGACCCTACACCTAGACCCAACACTAGACTTGGACCCAAACCTGACCCCAGAGCAGAACTCGACCCAAATCCAGGCCTCGGACACCACCTCGAAACTAGATCCTAACATGTGATGTATTAGTATGTGTATTTATTTCGGTGTATTAATATATATATATATTTTTTTATTTTGGTGTGTTTTGTGTATATAAGAGTGCGTGCGTGTGTATGTGTTTTTTTTTTTTTTTTTTTTTGGGGGGGGGGGGGTGTTTTAGTGTAATAGTTTGTGTGTATATTTGGATTTATTATTTTTGCTATTTAATAAAAAGACAAGTAACAACTTAATGAGTACTCATTTGTAATTTGTTTTAACTCATTTAATTAAATTGAGTGCTATTACTCAAAATATTTATAATTCGTACTAATTAATATAGGTCCCTAACACATTATTTTATAGGCAGATTTGGTTGGTTAATGGGTAATGGGTGAAAATTACCACCTTTACATGAGATTATTCCCATCCAAAAAATATTGATCCCCATATGTTAACCTCTTTAATATAAAAATACTAAGTCCATCTTATTCTATATTCACCCCATGTATTTCTATGTCCATCACATTTTATATCAAATTTTTAGCTTTAAACCTCTAATTATCATTGAAGAGTATTCTCTTTATGTATATATTTATAATATAAAACAGAGCAGACTTTAATAAATTCATACAACAGTTTCAAATAGACTTATCCGACGGTCACTGATATCCCTCTCAAATTCATTCACGTTGAATTTCTCCCCTCAAATCTATCATTTCTCACTTATATTATACCATATTTTCAAGTACGAATTACGTCTAGTATAATTATATATACAATGTGAGGATCCACGGGCTAGCCGTGAAATACTGCCCAAATTAATTTGGGAGTAGCCCCTATTGCTCTCTCAGCATGCCCTATACAATACATGGATCAGTGTGCATTTTATTTTATTAAAATTTCTCTTCTTTTACATGCATAAACCATACTCAGGTCTCTACTGCTGGCTAACACAGTGATTTTTCAGTTAGTTAAGCTATAAGTTATGCAGTTCAAAAAAATAAAATAAAGGTTAATATCACTTTTAGTCCTTAAAGTATGCATTTTTGTTAGTTTATTTCTCATTGTATAAATTTGGTCAATTTGGCATCTAAAGTATTCAATTTGTGTCACTTTGGTTCCTAATTAGATAATCCATCAAGTGTTTTTTTACGAAAGTGACCAGTGTCATTTTATTAAACAATATCACGTGTCTAACACATAATCATTCCGTCAAAACTAAACGGTCTATCTGTGTAGAGACCAAAGTGATACGGATTGAATAATTTATGGGTCAAATTGATATAATTACAACTAAACTGATAACAAATACATATTTTAAAGACCAAAAGTTATATTAAACCCCCATGGGCTGTTCCAAACAACATATAAGCTAACACAAGTTCATCTATTTAACAAACAACAGAAGATCAACAATAGGAACTATTACAGGAGGGTGATACAAGGATGAGAATAGTTTGTATTAGACATATATGAGATGGTCGGAGTGGTACATCTAGCATGTTCATGAGTAGATATACGTCGGGATGGACTTAGTTTGTAATAGAGTATATATAGAATGTGGTGGATTTAGTAGCTTTGTGTTAGGGAGTTTAATGGAGTCGAGGCCGACCCAATAATAAAGCCTAAACTTAGGCCCCACATTTTTTAAAAGGATCTACAATTTTAGGTACATAGTTAGCCCACATTAAAATAGAAGATAAAATAGATTACTTTTAGTAGTTTTTCAAATTAAGAAAAAGTTACTTGACAAAAATGAAGTCACTTTATACTTCTTTTCTTTTTTTTTTTATTTCAACCTTTTTTTTTTTGCTAGGAAAAAAAGTTTTCGAGGGAGTGACCGGTGTGAAAATCCTACCTAGGCGTGACCATAACAATCCAAACCCGTTGATGTTGTCCTTTGGAGGGGTCTAGCAAGTGAGCTTCACAGGCACTCTCTAAAGACAATTAGAATCATAGCTTGACCTTAACCCATTAACCCGTTAGAAACAAGTCAGCAATCTACTCTCCCTTCAATTAAACCTGAATGATTATTATTGCGATGATCTTTACGAAAAACTATTTTGCCACTAGACTACCGGGCTCAGTGGTATTTCATCCTTCAATGATAATTAGTAGTTAGTAGTACTTTAAAAACATTGGGATTGGTTCGGTCATGAAGAAGGCCAATAAATACCACAAGTTGCACCCTGAGCTTAAGTTTGAAGATGATCCATATTGAGCTAAGTAAAGGGGGCAATATTTTCAATTATAAATTAGTTTAGGTTATAAAATCTAAAAATTTATTTTTACTTATAAACTTAAAATTTAATATGTGACACTATCATGATCCACTTTTTTTTTTCTCATTTCTGACATGACCTAACGACTACAAATTATATACTATCATACATGTTAGTCTCGGGATATCATCGCAAAAGTTAGTCATGAGTCAGTGTATTATTTATTGTATAAGTCATGTTTAGAATTCGATTTTGTTCCAATTTTCCTTTTATTTTTTGGTGATCAAACCATCCAAGTGATTGTCTTCGTCTGTGAAAACAACGCCCATCTATTTAATCATTGTTCCTAATTTGGTTATTAAAAGTTTGCCATTAAACTTGTTGAATGCGGATTTTTCGAAACACTTAGAGGAGGTATAGAATTTTAAAAAAACTTAAGGGTATAAAGAGTAATATTGAAAACCTGAGGCAGACCATAGGCCCATAGTCCCATCAGAGTTGCTTCAATTGGGCTGATCCACTCTAGTCCAGAACTAGTTATTAAATTCAAAAAATGTGCTGAAATTGAGTTAATTATTTGAGATTAAATTAAGATGTAATTTGGTAAAATTTAGCTTAAGTGACTAATTCAGATCAATTGAAATTTTTAGTTGGGTTTTTATTTTTATTTTAATGGACTAGTATATAGATTGTAAAAATAATTGGGCTAATCTCAAATTGTCCCGAAAGATGATTCAAATTTTAATTTTCACCCTTAAAGTTTAAAAATATCAAATTATACCCTGAAAGATATAAATTTATATCAATGTGTACCGGGGGTTAACTGTCGTTAAAAAATTTTAGACTAATTGTAAATTGCACCTTCAAATTTAAATATTTTACATTTATGACCCCAAAAAAAATTTTATCCGTTAATATTCGTTAAATACATCTCATTAATACTAATTATTTTCTTGTCGAGTCAATTGTATTGTGTCATATATTTCACATTTATTATAATTCATATAATACTATTTTTAAAAAAATTAAAATACCTATTTTTTGCCTATAATACTCATTAAATAGTTATTTTCTGTTTAAAGTTAGACACGATACGACACACTTGAGAGTTATTTAACGAGCATTAATGGATATAATTCTTTTTGGACCATAAATGAAAAATATTTAAACTTTGGGGATACAATTTATAATTAATCTAAACTTTTTTAATGGCAAAATAGACAATAGTTAGCTCCAGGTGTACATTAATACAATTTTATGTATTTCAAGGTGTAAATTAATAATTTTAAATTTTAAGGATGTAAATTAATATTTTTAAACTTTAAGGGTATAAATTAAAATTTAATTAATTTTTTAGGATATAAATTAAGATTAAACCAATAAAATTTGACGTAGTGACATGGCTTCTATTAATCATGGTTATTGGGAGGAGCAATTGAGTACATACCCAACTCTTAACATTATTTTAGCAAAGTCGTCGTCGTAAACTTCAAACCCACAACCTCACGATTGTTAGTTGGATAATACAATCACAGCATTAGAAATCAAAACAACTACATTAGTACAATATGAAAAAGTCTATGCTCATAAATAATAATAGAAAGCCACAATATGATTTTCTCAACAACAAAACCAGCAAAACGTTCACGAGTTTCGGAAGGTCCAAATGCATTGGGGTCTCATAATCAATAAAGAAAACTGTAGAAACATGGAGCTATGGGGGTGCTCGTGGGAGACCTTATCTTGGGAGCAAAATGACAATGGTTTGGTCGGATGGTAATCTAGCTAGAAGCTATCCATGTTTGTGGTTACATCAAAACACAGACAAAACCTCATTGCTCTTTACTTATAATAAAGACGTACATTATTGAATGCATGAGGCCTTCCTTCCTTGTTCCATCTATTTCCCTTTTTATGTGATGGAACATCCCTATCTTCCTCCTCCACAGAGAGAGAGAGAGAGAGAGTGAAAACAGGGCGTGTTTTAAGGAGTTTACCTAGTCAGTCTTACAATCAGACAAACATACAATACTTAAAAATTGTAATGAAGACTCAGAATAAAGACTTCTGACCAGCAAGAA